TGGATAGATAGATAGATAGATAGATAGATAGATAGATAGATAGATAGATAGATAGATAGATAGATAGATAGATAGATAGATAGATAGATAGATGGATGGATGGATGGTTGGATGAATAGATGTAGGTGGGGGGGAGTGAATGTACAGCGCTCTCTTCCAGCCTCAATAGCACGACTGAGATGAGACCCTTGAGCAAGAACTGAACCCCCAACTGCTCCCCAGGCTGCCCACTGCTCCAGGTGTGTGTTCACGGTGTGTGTGTGTGTGTGTGTGTGTGTGTGTGTGTGTGTACTTGGATGAGTGAAATGCAGAGCACAAATTCTGAGTACGGGACACCACACTCGGCTCACGTCACAAAGTTACCAAATCATCCAGAATGAAGTGTTTTGGCAGGCTGCCCACTGCTCCAGGTGTGTGTTCACGGTGTGTGTGTGTGTGTGTGTGTGTGTGTGTGTGTGTACTTGGATGAGTGAAATGCAGAGCACAAATTCTGAGTACGGGACACCACACTCGGCTCACGTCACAAAGTTACCAAATCATCCAGAATGAAGTGTTTTGGAAATCTAAAAGTTTTGTGTGAGGGGTAGGTTTAGGGTAAAGGGACAGAAAATACAGTTTGTACAGTATAAAAGCCATTATGTCTATGGAATGCCCCCACAAAATATGTGTGTGTGAGTAGAGGTTGTGTTCAGCTGAAGGGGGGTGGTATCAGTGTGTGTCCCTGAGAAAGTCTCACAATAACCTTGTCCTAATTACATTCTGCAGTGCTGCTTTTGCCCTATTTCTACAGCTCTCTCTCACACACAAACTTTAACACATCAATAATACACAGTTACCTGAGGATGCCACACGCTTAAAGCTACATCTGTAAAACATTCACAGCCAATCAGATCATATTTGATATTTCGTATACATTCACACGAGCGAGAACAACGTAAGCTGAAGTAATTGTGTGGCCAAAGCAACGCCACTGAAATTAGAAAGCGAGTGACCAATAACCTGTGCTGGTTTCAGACAAAAACTCATTAACACACAGATTTTATTGCTAACCGCAGCGCGCCTGGTAAGAACACGGTGTCAGAGACGGTCAAATGTGTTATTAGCTTATCTTCATGTGTTATTAGCTTATCTACTTCAAGTGAAGCTTTCCTGCATGCACACTAGAAAATGTGTGCTGGTCTCCTAATAACGGGACAGACTGCTTTTGCTTTCTATATTCTTCTGCTACTCTGACATGAGACTGATCGAGTGTGACCAGGTCTGTGCAAAGAGGCTGAAAAAACAACAACCTTTTTTGGGTCTCCACTTCTTCCTCCTTTCATGTTGGAACAAAATGTCAAAATCAGCATGAAATCCTTTAATTACAGCATGCTTGCTCTGAGCATGAAGCATTTCTCTGCATCTGCACCACAGGGTGTGTGTGTGTGTTAGTTACAAACTATTCATAATTTAAAGTAGTTCAACTAAACATACTCCTTTGATAAAGTAGGTGTATGACAAGCTATTAACAAAAAATATATGAAGTTTTTTAACAGGGGGCAATATATTTAAGATGATCAGATAGGGTATCAGGTAGGGTGACAGCATGAACTATGAACACATTGAAAATAAAAACATTTAATCAAGCAGCAATTACAAACAACAGTATTTATGCATATGTTAATATGAATGTTTTTCATGTTTTTTCAGTATTTATTAATACAATGTGAACACTAATATTTATTTAAATATGTATTATCTTCATATTTTTATTTAAAAATGGCTGCTAAAAATTCAACTTTGCATCACAGAAACAAATTACATTAAAAAAAATTTAAATTGTAATAATATTTCACAATATTACTGTGTTTTACTGTATTTTTGATCAAATAAATGCAGACTTGGTGAACATAAGAGACGTTCAAAAACATGATCAAATCGTCTCTGCCATAGTATATAGACGAATACATAATCTTTCAACAATATTTTTGTCTTGAATATTTAAATGTTACCACAAGTACATTTTTAGGTTATTTTTGAAATTGTATTTAAAAAATATTATTTTATGTTTTACATTTATATACAGTACATACATTACATTTTTGATTTTTTTAGAGCGACTTTTGGCAACGCTATTGAGTGATGACTCATATGAATCAGTAAATGTTTTTTGAATCAGTTCAGTGAAACATCTGAACGAACTGATCTACTAAAACCTGGCTTTACAGCTAGTTAACTACAGTACATTGTTGTAGTATACAAAATGAACTGATTTACAGCAAAAATGAACGCAAACGCTGTTGTTCTCACGCAGCCTACCTCTCTCATTCGGCGCGCATCCAATTAAATGTTTCCATATTTGCAATGTGTTTGAGTGCTAAACTATTATTCATGCAAACCAGGATTTGTTCTTTAAAAAAACAAAACATCCTCTTTACATGAACAAATATGTGCTTGGCCCGAGCCCATGCTGAACGGGATTGTACTACAGATTATTGAAATTATCCAGTGTAGCGGTTTGGTTGACTGTATTTTATTCTGATAATGAACAAGCTGCAATGTTTGCAATGCTGTGCATGAGGCGCCGGCGCGACTGAACAGTGGAAACAATCAAACAAAACAAAACAAAAAAATACTCTGTAATTTTTGGTCATACAGAATACAGATCATTCAAAACTGCAATGTGTTTCCTTTTATTTCTGTCATCTCGGTTTCCAATCATCCTGAAGTAATGTATTTCAGCCCAAGCTGCAACAATTTCACTCTTCCCAACACCATTAGAAAGAGTAACAGAAAGATGGAGAATATTTGAAGGGAATGTTTGATTACTGCCTTTGCTCAATATGATATGCCAAAAAGTGACGCAATTTTTTGTCATTTATTGGAAGAAACAGCTTGTTGGAAAAGCGAAACTATTTGAAAATAGCTGACCTACCATCAGGATAAAAATGTGCTTACTTTTAATTAGTTAGCGCACAACACTGTGCATAAAAAAGGTTCCTTTTTACAAACCAGATTCACAAAAAAACACCAAAACGAGGATCATCTTACTGAGCAACTGAGCAAAAAGCTCATTTATTTCTCAAGTGCTTAATGATGTAATACGATACAAGGTCAAAGCAATTGTTTCATTGAGATAATAATATGCTCTTTCAAAGAGGCCATGTTTGCATAATGTGCTCACTGTGGAAATTAATAAGCAGCATCTGAATTTTAAAGTCGAAATTTACAATTTTAATGCAAATGTGTGCTATGGAGCGTACAACATCAGCCGAGGACACGACATTCAGGAGAACGCAAAGGACAGAAGATGCTGATCAGTAAAACTTTTTATCCTTTTTTATCCAAAACTTTTTATCCAAAGCTGCTTAAAGTTCACTCATGGCAACTAAAAAACAGTTGTTGACCAAACTTTTCTTTTCTTTTCTTTTCACTAGCACCAAGGTATCTTAAATAAAAATAACTAAAATAACAAAAAAAAAAAATATATATATATATATATATATATATATATATATACATACATAGAAAATATTAAAACAAATACAACAAAATGACTTTAACAAAAAGTTTCAAATGAAAACAGAAAATATAACAATAAAAAGTAACAAAATTTTTTATAAAACATTTAGGAGTATATCAATGATACTAAAATAATATTTGTAAGGTGTGGTGAGTTACTAAAAACATACTTACATTTGTAGGTCATCCTAATTGTGTATGCGCCAAAACCAGCAGGTGAAATCTCCTGTTGAAACAGACATTAGCATATGCTGAACAAATATAGATCATATTCATGAGGTGACTGATACAGAAATGACTGAACTGATTGTCCTGAAAGACGTGGGATGGGTTGGATGTTTTATGGATGTGTAATGTGAATACAATCCCGTCAATCTCTTCCGTCTTTATCTATGAGCTCATGCATATTTAATGCAACACCACAATGCCTTTAAAGATTCACGGGTGAAGTTTCATGATCTGAGAACATGGCGTCTGAGTAATAAGTACATGTTTGTGTGCTGAAGATTAGTCTCCAAAACCATCCATATTCATGGGATTATAGTACAAAACAATATTAATAAACATGAAAATCACATACTCTCACTGCAGCGAACTGCTGTGCTACACAACAATGGCTGAGAGATCTACTACATGAGTGAGAAAAAAATAATTTGATATACTTTCTGAAAACACTTTTGTGGTTCACATTTAAAAGTTCAAAATACAGGTCTTTTATTCAGTAAGGACACATTAAATTGAAAGTGCCAGTAAAGACATTTAGAATGATACAACAGATTTATATTTCAAATAAATGCTGTTCTTTTGAGCTTTCTATTCATTAAAGAATCCTGAAATGTAAAATATTGTGCAGCACAACTGTTTTCAACATTGATAATAATGTTTCTTGAGCAGCAAATCGGCATATTAGAATGATTTCTGAAGATCATGCGACACTGAAGACTGGAGGAATGATGCTGAAAATACAGATTTGATCACAGAAATAAATGACATTTTACAATATATTCACATAGAAAACAGTTATTTTAAATAGTAATATTTTTTCACAATTTTTGATCAAATAAATGCAGCCTTGGTGAGCAGAAGAGACTTCTTTCAACAACTTTAAATAAAACCAGTTACTTTAGATGTTACCACATTAAGTACATTTCTAGGTTACCTGACAAACATTTCTTTTAAAGAATGAGAGCAAAACACAAAAGTGTGCAATGATACGAGAAACATATCAGGCCATAATAGACTCCAAACACAACGAATACATCAAATATAACACATGCACGGACAGAAGAGAGAAACAATTGCTTACCAACTTATAATTGCCTTCTTGTAATCTCTCTCTCTCTCTGTGTGTGTGTGTGTGTGTGTGTGTTTGCAGCCGGTTTTACTACATTCCTAATTAATCCAATCAATCATCTCAAAGATTTAATTATGTGATGGATGCAAAAATTATTACAGGGTCAATGTGATAAGTCAATCTCAGGCATGGCATCACACACACACGCACACGTGCACACACACACGCACACGTGCACACACACACACACACACACACGCACACACGCACGCACACACACACACAGCTCCTAGCTTGCTTTAATTGCTGCATTTTTTCTATTTTTATTCTCGCATCGGCTTTGTTAATTCTTTAGTCTGCTCGAGCAGGGCTGGAAAGCTGTTTGTCATTTCTATGATTTCAGCTTCAAGCATTTCTGGATCCCAGAGACTATACTGAAAACAATTTGGTGTAGGATTGATTTACTTTGCATTTTAACTCTGAAATTGCTAGTAATTTCACAAATAATTACAAAGAAATGACACACTGCATTACACATGAGGCAGAGAGATTACAGAAACAGTATTTTTATTGTAAAACCTACTTCAATAATCCCTATTTACAACTTCAAAAAATCTACTCGCTGAAGAAACACTCTTGCACTAAAAGAAAAACCTTAGCTTTATTAAAATAAAACATAATTTACATTTTAATGCAGCACTTTTCCCATTGAGGATGTCCCCTAAAAGAGTTCAGGTTTTCAGATGAAAGTTTCTAGTTGAGCTGGGCTCTCAGAAGCCTTGCTGCCCTGCTGTGTGTGGCATGATGGATGATCTCATGTTCACGTTACAGAAGGACACGTCTGAACATGAAGCCCTGTGGAGAACAGCACAGCCTCCGCTCTGACGTTTTAAGGCCATGCTCTACGACGGCAGCGGCAAGAAAAAATGCGATCTATATTTTTATATTTATTTTTGCATTAAAGCTGTATGCAACCATTAAGAGCTCTGCTATCTTTGCATGAACGGCCACAGAAGGAATCTTTGAAAGCATCACACATATTTGCTTGACTGTAGTAGTGCATTTGAATATTTCATGACAGTTGTCACATCTTGTTAAAATGTTTAAGGGTTCGTCTTGATTTATTAAAGCAGAACCGCAATGTCCTGTTTGTCTGAAAGCGGCAAGAAAAGCGTGAGAGTTCAGCGACTCACTTCTTTCTACATGCATTACTCGGCTCCGTCAGGATACAGCGCTTTATTGAACTTGAAATAAACTGCAAACAATCCGTGCCTTCAGGCTTTAGATGTTTAATGAGGTGTCAGACTCGCCGACCCTTTCGTGGCTCGGAGCGCCTCTAATTGGTTTTTGAGTTTTTTTTTGAGATGGCTCTTTAATTTCTTTCTTTGAGCAGAATAAATGTAATATACTGTGCCTTCTACCAGTCATTTTGAGCATTTGGTGATCATCTCCAACTTTGATCATTTTAAAAAGTGGATTTCTTTTCAAAATGTTTGCAAAAGTTTTCAAACCGCTGCTGCGGCCCACACCATCTCCCGAGACTCTCGCTGACATGAAAACACTTCAGCTTTCTGCAGCTTCTCCTCCTGACCTCCTCCCACACCTGTCCTGAATCTGTGCTCAGCTTAAAGTCCCCATGAAATCAAAATGAAAGTTTTTTGGGTGTTAGTATCAATATGTTAGTCTTAAGGTTATCTATAAGGCAGTGTGCTCCAAAACAGTGACAAAATTCGCATTTAGAAGATATAAGCATTGAAAGCTTGCAGTTCGTCACTTCTGCCAAAACGGCTCAACGTACTTCAGCTTCTCATCCAACTTTCTGTCCAATCAGATGCTCTCTAGAATCCGAAGCCCCGCCCCCTACACTATAAAATAGACACTGAAGCCGCGGCTGAAATCGGTCACTTGTCCACAGAATGAGTATTTTCTGTGCAGTGAATGGCACGTAGTGCACTATATAGGGGACAGGGAACGATTCAAACAGTGTAAATATGCTCTCCATTGAGGGAAAACAGAAGTCTGGTTTTGCGCTGTGTCCCGCTAACCACCGCACCGCACACACGCTCTGCTCCGGTTCAGAAACACGATAGCACGGAGCGGATCACATGCACGAGTCGCCGCAGACCACAAAATGTATCGGAGCTATTTGAATTCTGCACAGAATGCTATATTGTATAGCAATATGGATAAGATTGTGGCTGGCATACCGACAAGCTGTGATATAAACGAACGCTATTGGCTATTTTAAAAAGGGGCGGGGCTGCTTGATATGTCCCGCCCTGTCTTCCTGTTTCAGTTAAAATGACGTCAACACAGAGTAACTCTGCGTGTTTCTAAGCATTTCAGAGGACCTTTAAAAGATGTCAGATATGGTCAGATTCTGACAAATTAAGCTGCTCTGGAAGGAACCACCTTTTTTGTATTCATTTGTTCTGATTATCATGGAACTATCAGCAAATCACCATCAGCACATCTCTGAGGTTTTTGGTTTAACTAGTCCTATTAGCTCAGCTGAAAGGGTTTAGGCTCCTCTCTCGGGTTCTTTCATACACTTCAGACCTACATTGAGCCACTATGTTTGCGATTATAAAAGGGAAGCTCACTAACCTCACTGACATCTCGAGATGGATGGATGAGGATTTCTTCAAGATCAGCTTTGATCAGTAAGATAAATACCCTTAACTACAACAAAACTCTGCTCCTAATGTTTAACTGCATGTTGTATATGTAAAACCAGTCAGCATTTACACAGATAAATCATCCAAAAAAATTAGTATTTACTCCCCCACACATTTCACATCCGTATGAAAAATGTGTGGTGTTTTATTTTGTACATACACTTAAAATCAATGGGGTCCAGTGTTGTTTTGAACCTCTCTGACCTTTATAGACAAAAAAACATATCTTAACTGTAAAAAGTGATTTTCCAATAATTTTGTTTTCCAAATACCTAAAAACTCTTAAATCAAGATACATTTATTTGGGAAGCAAAATATTAAACTGTTTTTTGAAATATTAATCAAAATTAGGTGAGCTTAAGCATAAAACAAGAAAAAAATATCTACCAAAGGGGGAAAAAAATTAAATAAATTCAAAGGGAAAACTAAAAACTAATTTATTTTTCTTACACAAATAGCATTTTTTTTCTCTTGTTTTATAAGCATAACTCACTTAATTCTGATAAATATTAAGGCTTATGTTATGTAATTTTACTTCTAAAGTAAATGTTTCTTGATATAAAATGTTTAAATATTTGTACAGGAAAATACGACAAAACGGAGGAAGGATTATTTTTTTTACATTGATTCATCTGTGTTTTGCAGAAGAAAATTCACACAGGTTTGTACAGACATGAGGGTGAGTAAATTATGAATCAATTTTTGAAATGCAAGAATTGATAAAAAATGTCATTGATATGTGGCATCCAACCTTTCTCTCTCATCACATTCAATCAAACACGCAAACTCAACAGCTGCACAGGAAACACCAACAGATTATTTGAGAATAATGTTCCTTTGGAATCAATGCAGACACTCAAGAACCATTAAAAGGACTAAATATCATTAAAAAATATTTTAAAATAAGAACCAGCTCTCACTACTAGCTCTGTGGTCAAAGATCAAACCGCTGTCACCTCCAGGTGCAAAAACACCCTGAATGATCCTAAATGATCAACTGACCTCCATTAACCACAAGCAGCCCTTGCAGTCTCTTCTTGACCCTCGATATATTGAGAAACAGACCCTCTTCTGTCTTCTGTCCTGGTTAAGGCTCTAGTTATATCACAACTAAATCACAAAGCTGCAGGCAGACGCACATCCACCCTCCAGAATCTCTTTGTTCTGGTCTCTAATTTGGCCTCCGGTGCCTGCAGAGATATCAGTCGAGTCGCTCCTGGCCTGCGGTGCGTTAAAAATCCTGATACGTACAGG